TCATGCAGGGTACATACAAGAAATGAATAGGGAGAAAGATTAGATTTTTAGATAAATACATAATTAGCAAAGATGCTACCTGCATTAGTAAATTTGTTACATAGTTAAGCATCATATGGTAACTCTGAATTTAAAAGAAGATAAAACACAAAATTCTCTACATATTGAATTACATGAATACTTTTGCTGATATTCAGTTTAAACAACATGCCACCAAGTCATCGTTAGCATACTGTACTTGCTCAGTGCAGAATGTATAAAAAAATGGCTCTGTTTAGAATTTCCGTGAAAATCTTTGCTGGTTTTCTTTAAGCCCGACGAAAGATATTCCTACTTTAAGCCTAGAATGGTAGGTAACTTGAGCATAAAAATCTCACATGGGAATCTTCATCAATTTCATGTTGATCACGATATGGAGCAGGTCCATCTTCATCGCTTTCACCAAATACATCACGGACAACTTCATGATCTCTCTCCTCCTCAACTGGCGAGCTGCATAAGATTATGGTTCTTACGAGTTACTACTTACTACAAAGGTAGGGAGGATATACATAGGCAAAGAGTGCATATTGAGTCACTAGCAAAATACTAAGAAACAGTTAATGAAGAAGTGGATAGATTGTTACTCCCTCCGTACTCGTAAAGGAAGTCGTTTAGAACAATGTTTAAGTCAAACCTTGGGAATATAAATCCTGAATAACTCTCAAGTTGTTGAGTTTAAAAATGTAAAAATTATATGAATAAATTTGTCTTGAAAAATACTTTCATAAAAGTATACATATACCACTTTTTAATAAATATTTTTATAGAAATAAGTCAAAGTTGTGTTTTGGAGACCGTGTCGGTGTCCTAAACGACTTCCTTTACAAGTACGGAGGGAGTACGTCGTAATGTCAGATCTAGAAAGCATATAATGCACGGACAATAGATAGGATTCTGATTGTTTTCCCTTAACCTTGGTGTTTTCCTTGTTTGATGAGGTTCCTCATCTTCATGACCTCGGCCAGCATAATAGTCATCTTCAGACCCTTCAGATTCAGAGGCAACAACTCCTCTTCTTCCGCTAGCTACTGGCCACTGCTGATAGCCTCCGTCTTCACTATCCATGCCTGCTGCATCATTTTGCATCACCCGGTCACTAAATTCTCTTTCTGGGGAGCTCTGGACCTTTTCCCCATCACTTTCTCCTTGATCAAGATCAGCTTGATGAGCTTCAGCTTCGCTTTCTTCTTCCATCCCAACTTGCCCCTCACTTTCACCTTCTCCTTCCGCTTCACCTTCCCCTCCATTATCAGCCTCACCTTCCACTTCTTCCTGTACAAGCAAATCAATAAGCAAGCATCACATCAGATAGCTGCAGCGGAAGTATACAGAATGCATCAATGAAGAACTGGGGCACAAGAAGAGCCTACGAGAGCTAAACTCTGTGGCAAGATCAGCAAGGAATGACGGTTCGATTTTTACACCGTGATAGGTCCAGTATGTCTCCAAATCACTTGCTACAGCTGGGCACTGAAAAAAACTAGCATTACACACAGAGGATTTACACTTGAGACTGACAGACTTGCGCGCAAAGTGTGAGGAAACAAAATGATGGAATTCTGAAATGCCAGTGGTGTTCAAGAGGCAATGCTCCATATCACGTCACCTAAAATTACAATAGTTTTGGTCCAAAAAAGTACAATATTCTACTAGCAAAGCTTATTATCAAGATGTTCCTTTCAGAATTTTCGAACAGATGATTGGGGATCAGCGAAGCAGAAATGTACTGGTTCATCAAACTGCAGTATCCCAATGGCGAGATTTATTCCAGCCGAACAAACCTAAGCCCTAGCCCCAGGACGGGGGGACAGGAAGCAGGGGAGGGGAGATTTGAGATTTTTACCGAGTGGTAGCCGGAGCGGGCATGGCCTTCGCTACGGACGTCGTCTTCGTCGTCGTCGTCGTCCACCACCTGGTGGCGAAGCAGCTGCTGCTGCTGCGGATGCGGGTGGTCGTCCTCGTCGACGACCTCGACGGCCTCGTCGTCATCCTCTTCGTCCTCCGACTGGTCGCCGAAGAGGTTCTGCATCATCTGGTTCCTCGTCTCCTCCTCGACATCCCTCTCCCTGTCGCCGCCAGCCATCGCCGCCGCCGCCGCCTCTCCTCTCCAATTCTTCTTCAATTGGGGATTTCTTTCGAAAATGCTGTCAAAAGTGCGGCCGATGGAAGCCGAAAAAATGGGGCGCCTCGCTCGCTCTCCTTCTCCTCCTCCGTAGCCGTAGCCGCCGCCGCCGGCCGCTGGCCGAGTAGGAGGCCGGAGCTCGGCGCGACGACGACAGGACGCGCTGCCGCAAGGAGGTTCGCCACCGCTGCCGCTCCCGGGATGAGCGCGTCGTCGTACTACCGCCCGCGCCACGCCGCGGCGCTGGACGGAGCGGCGGCCGTGCGGCCTTTGGGGCGCCCCGCGTCGGGCGGCGGCGGCGACGAGTCGCGAGCCGTGCCGGCAGCGAGAGCGAGATGCTCGCCGGGAAGAGTGGTGGATGGGTGCCCTTGTGTTGGATTGAAATGTTGTGCTAACAGGGGGTTTTTGATTGATATAGATTTGTTGGTGTTTCCTTAGGGTGAAATTCCATGTTCCATAACGTGTTTCAGTATAAATTAAAACATTCTCCATCTACTAGGTGTAACATTTTTTTTTCTAACTAACGAAACAGCGCTCAATTTTGACAAATAAATCGGACGCCCAATTTGTAAGGGTTCCATTTTTTTTTATTTTTCCTTTCTCTTCTTCAGGTTACTATCGGGCCAAGCGCATTCGTGTTTAAAAAAGTTTTTTTAGAAAAAACAAAATCAAATTTTTTAAAAAAAATACAATATAAATGCATACACTCATATAAACATACGCGCACATGCAAGTACCCGAGTGGATAGGTTACACAGCAAGAACCTATTTAGGTGGTGGTGTTTGGATCCAGGGACTAAACTTTAGTCCCTGTCATATCGGATGAATTTGGAGTATTAAACATAGACTACTTATAAAACTAATTACATATAAATAAGAGCTAATTCACATGACAATTTTTTTAAAAACCTAATTAATCCATAATTAGCGCATGTTTACTGTAGCATCACATAGGCTAATCATGGATTAATTAGGCTCAATAGATTCGTCTCGCAAATTAGTCCAGGGTTATAGAATAGGTTTTATTAATAGTCTACGTTTAATATTTATAATTAATGTCCAAACATCCAATCTTTTAGTCCCATCTAAAAGTTGAGCAGCACTCATCTCACGAAATAAAGTTTTTCTAAATGTGATGTTAAAAAATCATATTTCAACACTTGAATTATTATATTTGGTCTAGATAAATTACATATATGCATGCCTGCATTAGTGAAAACTCATGTCAAAAGAAACATATTTTTCCTAGGCGAATGTTTTGTGATGCAGCAATATGTATGGATAATATTTGCTTATGTATCTTGGCTCGATTTCACAGAACAACAAAACACCCATCACTAGATATGTTAACAGAGTAGATCACCAAAATATTTAACTTTTGACATCAATCAAATTGGTTGAATGTCTTAATCCTGGTCCTTGTTGGCACTGTTGTTGGTGTCAAGGAAGCAAGTCATTATGCCATTGCCACCTCCTGTGCTAAGGAAATAGCATACGCATGCTACATCACAAATGATCTCGGCTATACACTAAGATGAAATGAAACCAACAATAGTTGGTGCGGTCAAAAGTGGCACAAGCCGAAAGCAGTAACTAAAAGACTGAAACAATCGGTCCAAAGTTCCAAACACACAATTTATTCATAAAATTTTGAAGTGTTACAAATATATTACATCGCTTCGACTCCGATGTACAAATGTTGCTAGTAACTCAGCTCAGTATCACACTATCTGACTCGTCTCATCAACAAACATACCGACATTGAAACAGCAGCACAAGTTTAATTTAACCAGAAATCAATAAACTGAACAAAAAAGACAAACAACAGGTAATCCATAACTAATAGCACTGAAATTTCTGCTGATGGAAATTGCAGTATGAACAAAAGTACCTGCTCATCGCAATTATGCATCACTTAACAGAAATAACACCAAACATGCAGCTTGGCAGCAAACAAGAGCGACTAGGCGCTTGGCTACCAAGCCCATCTTATAGGCAAAAGGGCAACACTGCCTACATGCACCCTAGCAGCTCTGCAGTATTGGAACCCAAGCACTCCCCTCTGGTTCATTGTAAGAGAGTAGTAATATAATATATATGCCAAATCCAAGCTCAAGTATCATCATAACCCAAGCGGAAACAACTATCCCAACCTTGATAATATTTCAGCACAAAATCATGAAAGAACAAGGGAAAGCAAATTATAAATAACAACAATGTCAACTGATTGCAGAACATGCCAAATCACAAACAGTTCGAAGAAACCATTCAAATACAAATCACTTCAAGAATTACCAAAAGAGTTTACCATTTACTGAAACAACGCCACAGGTAACTAACTAACCCATGAAAAGAAAAGATGAAACATGATGTCACCTTGCTAGGAAGATGTTTGAGAATAGGTTTCATAAAACCGTCAATTAAGTACCGGTAATAGTGAACAAAGAAGCGTCTAAACCACAAATGTTTCTGTAATCTTAGCAACATAAGGGATGTTCGGTAAAGCTATATATGGCCGCTTTGCAGCCAGCCAATACAGTATCTAGTATTGAAATTTTATGGTAGCAGCAGCCAGGGCAGCCGAACAACCCTATTGTAAACAGATAATCAAAAGGCAGCATGAAAAAAAAAGTGAGCAAGTTGTGTTTGGGATCTTTGGGTGCACGCAGTAATTAAAGTTGAGAAAAACATATAGTGGTACTGTTACCACGGAAAGTTACTCTTAAGTTGTGACACTGGCCTACAAATGAAATTGAGGAGGTAGTAAAAACATTAGGACAGCAAGGCTTAAATTAAGGAGGTAATGTTGCATCAAGACGACAACGACAAGGCTTAATTTAAGTTTAAGGATGTACTTACTTTAAATCATCAAGCACACAAGGCTTAAATTAAGTAGGTGCTGATACATCAAGCCCACAAAAGCTTAAATTAAGTAGGTGCTGATACATCAAGCCCACAAGGCTTAAATTAAGTAGGTGCTTCCACAAGGCTTAAATTAAGGAGGTACTAATAGATTATAAGACCACAAGGCTAGAATTAAGAAGGTCCTCATAGAGTAAGACCACAGGACATGGAGATTATTATTTCATAATCTAAAATCGGTCGGCAGCGATGATTTTACACAGAATAATTTAGGAGGGTGGCATTGGCAACGAGGAGGACATATGGTGGTCAGACTGTTGAGTCTCCTCGAATAGAACATCGTACATCCCAAAAAATGAGGTGACAAAAAAAACTAGACCAAGATTTTTTGCCCAGGCGACATCATACCAAATGTGCCCTTCGGGCGGTGGCCTGCAATGCAAATTAAGATGGATAATAAATTAATTAGCTCATCGCATTGATTGATTCATCATATATATAAAAAAAAGGACATGAGTGCTGACGCATATATATGTGATAGATAATGGATGGATTAAGTACCTCCCTATGCAAGGATTAGCATAGATCTTGATCCTGTGGGTATTGCGGTGGACATCTCGAGCGGCTCGCTGCCGGATGATGGGATCCAAGAGCTGTGGCAACCTTTCAAGGTTGGCCTTTTCCATGGCATCGAGATGTCTACGCACCTAGCGATCATCAATTAATCAATCAAATAATCAAAAAGCAAGCTAAGGCAAGAAGAAGCAAGGAAGGAAGGAAGGAAGGAGACGGAGTAGGGTACGTACGTCTTCCGCGGCCTTGGAGTGGAAGGCGCGCCGGGCTGCCGCCATCATCCTTGTAGCGGCGAACGACATGGGGATCGAACGGATCTACTCCTCCTGTCCGTCCTGGTTAGGGTTAGGGTTCCACAAGCTCTCTCTCTCTCTCTCTCGCTCTTCTCCCACCTTTACTTCCAACAAAAAAAAAGGGGATAAATCCGAATCCGGGAAGGGATGAGAAAGAAAAAGCCCAGCCCAGCCCAACCCAGCCCACCGATAAAATACAAAAGCGATTTCCAAGAGAGAGGAAAGAACGAAAGAAAAACAATAATAAAGAAATATATAAAGCTGAAGCTCAATCCAATTCCAAACCCTAGCCTTCGTCTTCCTTCCTCCTCGATTCGATTCGATTTGATTCGTGATGTCGCTCTGCCGCGCTGTGGTGATGCAGTCGCGGGGGCTTCTTCTCCGCACCCGCCGTCGGACCTTCTCCACCACCGGCGCCACGGATCAAGAGCAGGTAACTAACTCCTATTCTTCCTTCTCACCAAGACCACCGGATCGATACACATCTCATCTTTCTGCTCAACTGAATTTCTGTATGCGGCATCGAATATATATGGACTTCACAAACGGCGAAATTGAATGCTCTGGTTCGCTTGTCCCCGCCTAATTTTAGGCCATTTTCCAATGCACCTAATTTTATTTTTTTTCGCCGGGATATGCACCTAATTTTGGGATTGGGATTCGGTGACATTCCCCCGTGACATTCTCAGTGACATTGAGTCACTGACATGTGGGACCCACATGTGTCTGGACCCACATGTCAGTGACTCAATGTCACCGAGAATGTCACAGGGGAATATCACCGAATCCCAGTACCTAATTTTGTCCCCTCTAACAGTCAGCAGTAGATAACTGTAGAGAATTTCACTTATGTTACTCCATCTCTAATCCTATTTAGAAATTGATTCAAAAAAAACTCTTCTTTTTGGTTTCTGTCTATATGTCTTAGAGTTTCCTTATGCGTTGCACATAAATATAGCCTTTATCTGGCCTCTTGGTTTGGATACTGAAGGTAAAACATATATAAGATTAAGATGAGATTGGAGAGGTGGTGGGCTACTGGGCTCCTCTTCCCTAACTCCCTAAGACCAACTTAAATCGTCTTGTATGTGCAAGTTGGCTGGTATTTGTTATATTAGAAGAGATTCTGTTTTTCTCTAAAAGATTAGAAAATGACCGCATGAATGTAACAGTAATACCATGTATTAGGAGCATGGGCACATAAAACAGTTCTGGAGTTAGAAAGCAGTCGGCTTTCTGATATATGTTAAGAACACACTTGCTGAATGTTCATAGTTAATTTTCATACTGTGATTACAGGCTCATTTTCATCAGTTACTAATTAAAAAATGTTGTTTTTTAAGTGTTACCGCTGAATCTATATAGGTTCTAAAAGAGTATGTGAATTTCTCTCATATTTCTAACTTGTAACCTCAGTCCGCCGTATGCTTGTGTGTTTCATTTTCTTCTCTAAATCAGCCGGCGACGTTGAGGCCTATGAATGCTTGTCAGTAACAACTCAGCACTAACAATGCTGGTGACTTACCGTCCTCTGATACCATGAGGGAGTAATTGATCATTTTTGTCTTGATTTGTGCTCAAACCTGTGAATCCTAATCAGGTCAGAAGGACCAACATCGTCAGAGAAATTGATGAATTGAAGGCGAAGGTGAAGAGGGAAATGATTGAAGATGTCGAGAAGGTAAAAAGGGTGGAGAATGAAGATAGAAATGTGCTCAGCCGGTATGTGGTTGCTTGCAAGTTTATGTTTGTCATTGTTTTCCACCTTGGTTTCAGGGGCAGCTTCATATATATGTGTTGTGTATATCATTCGCACAGGTTGTTGACTTTCTGCGGGATGCCCAGGGGTGTATTTCGAGATAATCTAGTGTTTGGATGTAACGTAGTTGCGGTGTTTGTTGCATCCGGTGTAGTTGGGGCATGCAGTGCTGGCTGGAGAGATGCGCGGCGTAAGCGTGCAAAGTTTGGTACTAATGCTTGAAGTTTAATTAGCTGTAATGTTAGATGGAGGAGGGCCTGTGTAACACCCTGAAAATTCCTGATAATAAAAATCACTAAAATTTCGAACTTTTTAAAACTTTTGCATCATGCTGGTTGTTATGATTCCTATTGCTTGCCAAACCATAAATGATCACCAAGAAAGTAAAGAAAAGAACTACATTTAAGCAATAGAAATGATTTACGAGAATATATTTAATCCTACAAATAATTATGCACAAGATATTAAAATCAAATAAAAGAAAAGTTATTATTAACCTATTTTATCAAATATTAAAATATTTGAATAATGTAGGTGGGTGCCATAATATGAGTACACATGAAATGATGATTATTCAAATAAACTGAGCTCTCTGTATATATAATATATATATAATAGAATTATGGGAGTATTTAATTCTATATGTAGATCGATATTACACCAAGTTCCTAATTGCATTTAGGGATTGAAATTTAATATATTAAACCCCTCCATATAAACTAACATATAAATAAATTGAACTAAAGTGCTATTGTGTTAATAACGGTCTCATTAGAAAATTATAGAATCTTTAATAAACCTTAAATATTGGACAATATTAAATTTTGGGCAAATTCACATTTGAACACTTAATACGGTCACCCAAATGCTTAGGAGTAAATACAAATTTAATTTGCAACTTTTCTGAATTTATAAATCAACCAAAACCCTAAAAGAAGAAAAATAGGAAAACTTTGACAAATATATAATAATAATAAGAATTAACCCTAATTAAAAATTCAAATAAATTATATAAATAAAATATGAGTAATATTAATCTAGAATAAATCCATTGGTTGGAATGACACAAATATTGGGTAAACTTCATTTATACAAAATCTAGGATTTATAGAATCAAATTTACACAAGAAATGGACTAAAATCGGGATAAATAGGAAAAGTCACTGTTCATTACGGCATAGGTGTTCGATGTGGTCCCCTAGCCCTCCCCCCTCCTCTCCCACCACGGCGCCCTAGCTGGCCGTGCGCCCCGCGCCCCTGCCCCGCTGCGCGCCCGTCCCATCGCCGTGCGCCGAGCCCCGCTCCTCCGCACGTGCCGCCGCCGTCGCCGTCACGTCGTCGCGTGTCGCCGTCACATCACCGCTCGCCTCGAGCGCCGCGCCGTTGCCGTTGCCGCGCCGTCTCCATCCCGCCGCGCGCCATCGCCGTCCCGTCGACTCCACTACCGCGCCGCGCGCCGTCCTGTCGCCGCGCCACACTCCATCGCATCGCCGTCGTCTGTCGCGTCGTCTCGAGCCCCTCCCCTCCGCGCGCGCTGCCGCCGTCGCCCCCGCGTCGTGCCCCATGCCGCGCCACCTCGCGCCCCGCACCCCTACCGCGCCGTGCGCGTCACTGTCGCCACGCCGCTGTGCCGCTCGCCCGTCGCCATGTGCCGCTGCCGCGCCCCGAGCCCCGCGCCGCTGCGCCATGTCACCTGTCGCCGTCCCGTCGCCGTCGCGCCCCACGCCGCCGTGCCGCGTCGCCGTCGTCATTAAGCACTGCCCGCCCCCTCCACCTATATAAACCCCTCCCCCTTGCCGCCCATTGCTTCCCACACCACCCTCACCACCTCCCCTCCCTTTCCCCTCTCTTTCCCGTCCCCGGCGTCGCCACCTCTTCGGAAGCCGCCGCCGCCGCTGAGCCGACGCGCCCCGCCGCTGCGCTGTACCTCGTCGCCGCGCCGTGCTCCGACGTTGACCCCGCCGCCGCGTCTCCGTCGACCCCACCGTCAGTCCGGTGAGCCTTCCCCTCCCCCACCGCTTGACGCCGCGCCGTGCCGCCCGCCAGTTCCAGCCGAGCCGCGGGAGGAAGCAAAGAGGTAGCAGAGAGAGAGAAGAGAAAGGAGAGGAGAGATTAGAGTGGGCCCCACGTGTTTAGTGAATAGTAATTCCCTTCTTAATCTTTATTAGTTGAGTCTATTACATGTGGGTCAGGGTGGTTAAAAATCTAATTATTGAGGTTTTATAATCCTGAGTCTATGACATGCGGGCCCTACCGGGTTTAATGGCCGGTTTGACCCTAGTCAAAGGAGTCGGGCCCACCTGTCATTTGCCCATATGATTCCTTTAGAAAGAAAAATAAAATAAAATAAAAGAAAATAGGAAGACCCCACCTGTCAGTCACTATAGCCTGTGGATAAGGTTGTATTAAAAATAAATGAATTAGGAACAGTACCATTTCACAATTATTAGAATTAATTCAAATTTGAATCTTTACACTAGCATAACTTATTCATTTTAACTCGGATTTGAGTGAAACTTGAACCTAAATTCATCTAAATTCATAAGCTTTCCAATGATATATAATTCACTATTCAATAAAATATATTTATAATTATAAATTAATTAATATCAAATGATTAGATAATAGTTAACCTAAATAGTGTGCCAATAAATAAAAAAAATGGATATTGTACAGTAGCATAATTATCTTTAATATGTCTTGTCACTGTAGCAACCAAATAAATTAGTTATAATCAATCCTTCAAATTAATGGGTGTAAAGGAAAATATTAGTGCCATTTACTAGCCTATGTCCAAATATAATTAATTCTATGACTTATAAATTATTTACATAAAGTTTAGCCTCATATTTTCTAACTAAACTATAAACACACATAGATGAATCTTTAACTTGTTTAGGAGAGTAATCACAGAGCTAGTTGTATTTGGACCACTTAAAAAAATTAGTTGATTCAATGTCATGTGAAGTAGAATATATATATATATAGTCGGTTGATATCCATTAGTTAACCAAATAGAGCCATCTTAAAATCAACATGTATTGTATAGCTTACAGTAAAAAGAAACTACTCAAATATATGATCCAATAATAAGATATTGTTGCTTACACATAAACTATACATCCCATTATAGTGGTACGGTATAGTATTAATTTGCGTGTTGCATATATGAAATTAAGAGAGAGTGTATGACAAACATGTATATTAGATAAATACTAGTTATAAATCTTGACCTCATATAATTATAATTATAGTTTAACTGTAAATTAGGATTATTCATTGTAAAATTATGTGATGGGATAATCTGTAACCATAATATGATTAACCTAAACAACTCTAACATACGAAGCATGGATAATTATTAACCTTTTATAATTTATTGTGACAAGTAAAATATGTTCATAATTAAAGTAAAGCTTCCATCAATAAAATAAATAATACAAATGATTCACTGTAATTATTTGATTGATCCTAAATCCATCCGACAACAGAACCTCTAGTATACGACCATTTTATTTAGATAGATGCATGTGTAGCCATAATCCTTCCATAGCCATTAGCTAGACTAAACCACAAATTAGCCAGATACGTATCTCATTCATACTACATTGGCTAGCTCCTAAATAGACCACCATGATAACAGAAAGATTAAGAAACTTTAGCCCTTAGCATGTTGGAACCCATTAGCAAGCGCGAATAATATGAGCAACCTTAGGTTCAACCTCAACAAATATATTTTGTTTGTGCATATTTGATTGTTGCTTGAATATTGGTTTTTCTAGCGTATTATAGACTTTGTGTATCGGATAGTCGTGAGGCAACGTCAGCAACTTCCAGGAGGTGAAGGTTGATCAAGAATTATATCAAGAATAAGGACTATCCTGAGCAAGGCAAGTCATCACTATTCCTTGAACATGTTGATCCCAATTGCGAAATTGTTTTGTTTACAAATAAAATTGCATGCAATGATGAACATCGTACTTGTGATTATGCCATGCCTTGATTATTGTTTACCCTTAAATCTTTGTAACCATGTTTACGTATGAGTCCCTAGTCAACTATGACAATTGCTTAGAAATGCTATTCTAGAATCATGCATACTCATATTTATCAAATGCTATATGCTTGGGCAATTACCTTTGGGAAGGTAATTGAGATGCGGCATGTGGAGACATGAGCGCCACATTGCCATGATGTTGATGACATGATTTGTGAAAGGAGAAATAAAATTAAACAACTGTTTTCGACTGGGGCGGATGGAGGATTTGGGTGGTATCTGGAAAAGGCTAGTACCGTCCCCAGTCAATTAAGGACCGAGCCATGAAGTTAAGCATGAAACGACCCCCGTACAACCGTACTTCTCGAAGGGATATAGACCTAGCGGATTAGATAGCCGAGCGGAGGCAGTATCCCTGCATAGATGGTTCACCCCTGAGTGAGGCAGGTGCGCTACGATGGGACAGCCGTTGAGGTAGGGCCGAGAAGCGTGCCCTACATCGGTGTCGCCATTGGTAGGACTGCCATGAGTGTGTGAGAGAGAGAACTTAACTTGAACCATAATTTAATATGCGTGTGAGACTTCTCTTTCCCGGGAGCGCCAGAACTCCTCTCACTGCTAGAAACATGGACGCCTAGAATGCATGAGGATTTAAGTTCATGGAGCGGGTACTGCCAATGCGAGGTTATCGAAAAGCTTTGCCGTGACGCGTCTCATGTGTTGGGACGAGGCTCATGTGTTGGGCAGTCGCGGAGTGTGGGTAAAGTGTACATCCACTGCAGTGTGAGCAAACCAAATCTATTCGAATAGCCGTGCTCGCGGTTAATGAGCACTGGGACATGTATTACACTTGGCTAGACTCTAAATTCTTAACTTGTGTGGGATGGGATATTGCATGGTGATTTTTATGCTGATGGAGCCACTTCCTGAGAGGAGGGAAGGTGGACGTCCTCAGAAAACCATGACGACTCAATGGCGGGAAGCTATCCTTGGGATCACAATGGATGGTGGACAGAACCGTCGTTGTTTAATGTGAACACTGGAATTAAAATATGATCAGTCTATGATAGGTCTTAGGCTTGTGAAAATATTTGCAAAACGCAGCTTTATGCAAAAGAACCTGAAAGCATTCCTTGAATACCCTCTATCATATGCATTGTTGTTGTGGTGGCTTGCTGAGTACGGTTGGTACTCACCCTTGCTATTTATATATTTTTTAGGAGAGTGTTAAAGAGAAGCCATTGTCGGTACGCTTGCGTATCCCACAAGATGATCGGAGTGCGGTCTTGTTCTAGGTCTCGTTCCCCAGTCGACTGCCTGTGGCATGTTAACCAGGCCCTTATATTATTTTGTCTTCTGCTGTTGTTCTCTGATAGTTGTTGGCCTACCTGGCCCTAATGTAAGTATTTAACTCTTTTAGCCTAAATTCATTCGTGATATGTTGTGATCCAACTATGTATGTGTGTACCAACTACTGATCCAGAGATTGGTACGGATAAACATAGAAGATTTTCGATTTCCAAAATCGGGGGTCTACAGCCTGCACCTGACACAACCCTTCGTGATGGCTTTTGATTCTGACTATAATGTAGCTAAATACTGTTTATGGTGTATGCATGTGTTGGTTATTGTAACTAAAGTATTCTGCTTGGTGCAAGCATGTGAGTTGGTTGATTGGTTAATTATTTGATGTGGTGGTGCCCTTCTATTTCTACCACTGCTGACCGTTCCCGATTTTGCTAGTACATATATTTTATAGCTCACGCATTTTTGGGTTCTTTTCCCTCTACATGAGCTATTCGTGAGCCAGTGATTTTGTTTATCTTTAATTTGTTATATCATATATGATTGTGCAGTGATTACACTCATATCGTACTTTATTTGCAACTGAAAATTTTCTATAATAAAATTTATCGATAAATATATAGATAGCCTAAAAAAATAGAAAACTTTTAGAGGCTAAGGTTACGTTCAGATTGATAGCCTTATATTATAATTTTACGGAACGGTGGGAATACTCGTTATTTATTAGCATTGACCTTGTGAAGAAGCCGTTTTGAACTAAAACTTTATTTCACTTGTTTCAAATTGAAAGAGCTAGCTATTACTTCCTCCGTCCCAAAATATGACAACTTTTAGCCCTTAGAATTTGTCTCAAAATATAATAACTTATCCACCAACATTCTCTTCCCAACCAATAACAACCCTTCACCATTCACTTCTACCTATTTTCTTAATAACCGTGTCCAACTCTAAAACTTCTTATATTAAGGGACGTAGGAATGACTTACTTGATATTTATTGTTTCTTCTGCCAAGTTACCACCAACTTGTCAATTGCTCCATATTTGAATCATAACATTGAAAATGCTACCCCTATGATTTTCTCTACTCCATCTGTCACCTTCTCACCATCCATCTATTGAGGTTGTTCAATACTTTCTCAATCCACCTACCAGCCAATTCAAGTCCTAATTATATAAGTCTAGCTCGTGTTTTCTCCTCAATCCATCCACTTATTTAATCCCCAATTATACGAACCTGGCTTGTGATTTATTCTAATCTAACACTCAGTCAATCCTTACTTGCATAAGTCTGACCCGTTACAAACACGGGTATATTACTAGAGAAAAAACCATTATACTAAATCACGGCTCGTATACTAACGACGGCTGTTGCGAGCTTATTTGTAGCGGAGCTTTCGGGTGTCCCATAGATTAATCTAAACTTACATGGGTTATACATTAAACAAAAAGAACAGAAATTTTACATGAGTCATATGCATCATGTTGGGCTTACTACACCCTCGGTAAAAAAGAAAAAAAAAACTATGCTCAAAATTATGCTAAAAAGTAAAAAGTACGCAACTACTCCTATCAAACATATATTGGAGGATATTAGTATGTTGCATACGAGGCAGGTGGTAGAGACGTGACAGCCCACCCAATTAAGCTCTGCACATCAGAGTATACTACTGCAATTAGGTGTTTTTTTTTTCATAGTTTACTTTACTATGCAACGTTATATCTGCTAGGTTTTTCATGATGCTACCGAGTACACGTCTACGGTCTACCCCTCATTCATTTTTTTTCTGTATGTGCTACTCTATTCGACTCATAATATCTATGAAGCGCATATAGCCATCTCTATGAAGCGCACACACACCCTATAAATATATTTGATAGACTTGGGCAATATTTTTTTAGATTGGTGAATATACAAATGGTTGAGTTGGTACTCATGGGAAAATGACAGGGGAGTAGTAGTGAATTGATTTTTGGCCTTTTGCAATTAATAGGAGGAGGGAACGCATGGGGGAGGCATATCGATGTGGCGGCGGCGCTAGATACGGCCCGACGATAAGAAGACGGACATCTAAATAAACCCGAATAAGCATCACTAACAGCAACTTAAAATTTTATTCCCAAATTTTTTATTATGGAAATCCTAAACAGAATTTATGGTGTTAAAATTTTCCTTTCACCAAGAGATTGGGTAAAATTGGTTTTCAAAAACTAAAAAGGCGGGCCATATAAAATCTCCACTGGAAAAATTTGTTTTGCACTTCACCATATCTCTTCCTGCGCGTTAAGTGCCACGATAGAGAGCCAAAATGTGTCCAAGAAAAAGAAACGACGATCCGGAGTAGGGAACAAAGAATTCTGGGAATGAGATTAGATAATTCATTGGAACAAATTTTTAACAAAAATCCTCATATTATTAGACAGGGAATGATATAAAGATTATTGAAAAAATTGCGACTTAAAAATAGCGAAAAAAAGCGGACAAAGAAAACGGAAAAAGGCGACGAAAAAAAGAATATGGATAAAAACGGCGAAAAAAAAGGAGGCGACGAAAAAAACGGATGGAAAAAAAAGTAGGGCGAAAAAAAGAAGCCCATATATATTTTTTATATTCTATATAAATATAGATACGACGATCCGTGAATAGGGAAGGGAAGGAGTGAGTCAGATAAGGGAGAGGGGCAGGGATGGAATTTCGCATGCCCCTCCCTCTCTTCTTCTTTCCAGGGATAAGTTACTAATGGGGAGATCGGATCTGGCCTCCCAACTCTCTCTCTCTCTCTCTCTCATCGGATCGGTGTGGGTTTTTGGTGGTCGTCGCCTGATCCCTCCTCCCTGCGGCGGATCGATGACGGAAGGAAGAGAAGGGGAGCAGAGGAGAGGAGAGGAATCTCGTCGTGTCTGTCAGTACAGGAGGGGGAGCGATAAGACGGACGAAACGAGCGGAGCGGGCGACCCCCATGATTTCACGCGATTCAGGAGCAGCAGCAGAGGCAATTCCTTTTCGCTGGCTGCTGCAGCCTTTTGTGGCGCAGATAACTAGATGACTCATGCCAGTCCGTCAACGCTCGCTAGGAGAACCAACTCCTCCTCCTTATGTCTGGTATACATATTCACCCTCCTTTTCTTTCTTCTAGTGTATAAAAGTAGCAGCATCCAGTGACCATATATATATTTTCCCTCCTGTTTCTTTTTTTCCCCTTCATTTCATAGGTTGAGAGTTCCTGCTGACATGGATGATTATTGGATGTTCGATCGGATATCTATCTAGGACACACCTCGCACCTCTAGGAACTATTAACTCCTAGATGTGCGAAGGCAGCCTTAACTAGGCTGTGTTTGTTCATTGCGGTTCCGAAATTAAATTTACAGTGCATGTAAAACAAAGCTATCAATTAGCATTTAATTAATTAGGTATTAGCTATATTTTATTTAAAAAATAGATCAATATGAATTTTCTAAATAATTTATATATATATATATATATATATTATGAAAGAAAATACCGTTTAGAAGTTTATAAAAAACGTGATGATGGAAAAAAAAGAGATTAGTTGGGAAAACACAGCCGGCCCTAATGAGTCAGTGAATAGCGAGCGAAGGGAAGGAGTGAGTCAGATAAGGGAGAGGGGCAGGGATGGAATTTCGCGTGCCCCTCCCTCTCTTCTTCTTTCCAGGGATAAGTTACTAATGGGGAGATCGGATCTGGCCTCCCAACTCTCTCTCTCTCATCGGATCGGTGTGGGTTTTTTTATGGTCGTCGCCTGATCCCTCCTCCGTGCGACAGATCGATGACGGAAGGAAGAGAAGGGGAGGGGAGGAGAGGAATCTCGTCGTGTCTGTCAGTCTGTCAGTACAGGAGCTCAGTACAGGAGCAGGAGCGACGAGAGTTTCTGATTTGAGGGAGGGAGGCGCACAGATTTTCTCTTCTTTCTTTCTTCGTTTTTGTTTTGTTTTGTTTTGCCAGACTTTTTACCACCCTCCCCCTCGCATCGCAGAGGAGGGAGGAGCAGAGGACATGCAGTACCTTTTTCGCCTTTTGTGGCGCGCGCAGATAATCTCATGCCGTCGTCCGTCAACGCAAAATCGCAGTACGTGTCTGCTCTACTCTCTTCTTCTATTAACGCTGCTTTTTTCTTTCTTTTACTCTTTTATTATTATATTATTATTTTGATTTGATTTGATTTGGTTTGGTTTGGTTTGGTAGGTGCCTCCGATCCGGTCCAACGCTACGCTGCCATGGATATGCGACTGTATAGGAGCTGTACATCACTAGGAGCTCTACTGATCCTGTAAATTTCTGATATGATATACCACATGCTCTAGCGACATGCGTTAATACGCTACGTTTTCTTCTTCTTTCCCACCCCAAACATATAGTATATTTTTAAGAGAGATACACTGGTTCTATTTTCCCCCCATCATTAAAATACTTAGTGCTACTGCCTATATTTGTTGTTGGCTTGTAAGCACTGCTCGATCCTTCTCCAACTTATTTATACAAATTGTGGGGCATCTTTTATTTTGTTACGATAATGCTTTCATCATTTTTTTACTATATATATTAAATATAATTTTCGAGAAACAATATTAATGTATTTTTAGTTTTGTATTCATAAATACTTTCTTCTACTTATAATTTTGTACACAAATATTATAATATATTACCAACTACACAGAGTAATAGTTGATCAAAGCATTGTACTGGCGAAACAAAATATATGCCCTATAACTAAACTTGTACGGAGTAACTTGTAGTATAACTTTATTTTCTCTGTACCCTCCAGAAAGGTGAAATCGACCTATGCATGCCATGGGAGCACTATAAGATGCACACCAATCACTTGCACACGGCCTTGTGAATAAAATCTTATTTCTAAATTCCTCTTTGAAGTTGCCCCTAAGGATTCATGTGATTTTCTTGCACAATTTTCTTAGCTTTCTATTCAAGTTACATTGAACTACAAACATGTTACAAGTGGCTGGGTGAAAAATAACAACATGATACATACTTTTTTTGGGGGGTGCACTTATATAAGATTAATTTATGAAGAATGACAAGACACAAAATGCAAACTTATTCTTAGAAGATTCTTGCCATGCTATGCCCTGCTTGAACCATTGAATTATAATATGGAATAAAAAGTCTATCCAACAGTTGTTGGTGGTATTGCTTACGTGGCTCACATGTTAGCTCATTTTACTCAAGCCGAGCCCTTTCCTCACTAATCAGTGAGCCCAGGAATACTATACATTAACACACTTCTTTTTCATGCTGTATGACTTACTGAATTTTTTTTTATCGAATCCATCACCATTTCACTATCACTTGTCATAGTCCACATGGCCAAGCCACTATGGAGCTGTTCGAACTGCTTTTCATACTTTAGTGGATTGAATACTCAGTTCTATTTTTTTCATAGTTTAGTGGGTTGAATACTTGGACCATTGATTCAGATTGGGCAATTTCTCCTTTCCCAAGATCATCCTAATGCCCTCTGTAATGAATTCTGTTTTAGCAGCCTCTTTATGTTGACACCGTAATCATTTTAGCAGCCTCTTTGTACTGACACCATAGTTTTATTTCCATTCTATTCGTTCCATATCACTACAAAATGTTATTGAATTTGAGATGACCATTATTTATCTTTATCCTCTTTACAAAGAGAAGTTAGGCAGCCTGTGCAGATTCGTAGTACTAGGAAATATCCCATCCAGTCCTGGTTCTTATATTTTAGGACGGAGGGAGTATTTGTCATTTTTGCCTATGTGGCATGCCAGTCTGGCAAACTATTTGCCATTATTAATATAAATCATCTTTCATACACTATATAAGATATTTTTATGCTATTATCTCTTGTATAAGCAAATTTCTCTCATATACCACATAAAAATATTTTTTTTCTAAAAACTAAATATACCAGAAAAAATTTAAAACATGTATACAAACTTCCATATTTTGTAACAAGGCGGCAAGGCCACACAAAAAAAATTATATATTTTTTGAAACTTCTAATGAAATAAACCAATTGTTAATCTTGTATGTCTCTAAGTGTATTTTGGGTATTTTTGAAAAGAAGGCCCAATCCAATGGTGTATTGTAAAACAACTGATAAAGTCGTTGGTATATTATAGAAAGAGACAATGTCAATGGCAAATTGTTAAACTCGAACAAACTCAGTGGTATATAATAAATTCTCTCTAATCTAATATGCAACGGATGACATGTGGGCTCCACATATTAGTGTGCACCACAAAAAATTTTTAATGAAAAATGGGTCCCACATAAGCGCTACATCAACGCCATAGATCAGGTCAACACTGCCACGTAGACGCCACGTCAGTGAAACCGCCCTCCAAAACCACTAAGGATGCGTTCATTCCCAGCCGTTCCCAACTCCCTCTTCTCGTTTTCCACACGCATGCTTTTCAAACTGCTAAATGGTGTGTTTTTTTAAAAAAAAAGTTTTTATACAAAAGTTGCTTAAAAAACCATATTAATCCATTTTTAAAAAAAATAGCTAAAACTTAATTAATCATGCGCTAAACGCTGCTTTGTTTTGCGTGTCGGCTCCCGAACACAGCCTAAGAGAGTAAAATTGCATCAGTTTTAATAATTGGGTGTGTGTGTGAAGATATCCGGTATTGCAGTCATACGAATTAGATTGGGTCACTGGTGTCAAGGGAGTCAAAGTGAACTTAGTCTTTATTTATTTATTATCACTGGCCTTCGAGAATCTCGGCTGGACTAAATCGGAGACTAAGGCCGACCCAAGTCGAACGCAACCCAAACAAAAACGAATCTGGCTAACCCTAACTCTAGCAGGCGACATCGAGGTCGAGATCGAGGGATTTATGGCGTTCCCTTGAGAGAGAAGCTGACGAGGAGCGCGCGCCATGGTTCCCAGATGGCCGGCGGCTACGGTGTTGAGTGGGTGCGTACTCGATCCTTGCTACTACTACCCTTTTTCGCTCTTCTATAATTATATCATTTATAGCCCTAGCTCCTTCCTACCATTCGATCTAGTTTAAATTCGATAGTGTTTCAATCCCCCTCCACCAGCTTGAACGATAGTCTATCGTCGATAGAGACATGGGAGAAAAAGAAAAGAATCTTTTTGCCTATTTTTTTCAATCTAGGCACATGCAAGCCGCCCCTAATTCCAAATGAGAGCACGTATTATCCTGAATTCTATTTCTAATCAAACTAGCTAGCAGGCACAAAGCAAATGATAGCTAGTATTACAATTACCCTTGCTGATATCGCTTCTATGTGAAACAAATCATGATTATTGGCACATATTATGATTTTGACGATCCAAGCAGATGGATTGTATTTGCACGGACCGCTGGAGTTGCAATTTTCCAAAAGGAAAACAACATCTCAGTCAAGTAATATTTTTTAGTGGATTAGAACAGAGAAAAGGCAAAGAAAGCTCGAGACTGACGGCACTGTGCCTTATCTCGTAATGGTTGATCTAACCAATTGCAAATGGTAATAAGGTTTTCTTTCCTGACAGCAAACATTCAATTAATCAATGGCAACCATTAGTTTGTTATACGGAGTATTTCGTTGGACATCAAGTCTGATGGATAAGGACCACTGCACACACAAGTGAGCTTCTTGATTAGAAACAGAATTTCATCCATTACCTGCTTACATTTGGAATTACAGGGCTGCATGTGCTTAGATATGAAAATTTGGAATTAGAGGGCTGCATATGCTTAGATATGAAAATTTCGGATCTTCGCACAACGTGGAATTTTATTTGGTCTGGAACTTTATACTAGTATACTACTAGTAGTGAATGAAGCTCATAAGTTAAAAAGCCTCTTCTTTTTGTGAGGAGAACTTCACCAGGTAATGGAGAAGATCACCAAGCTCACCAAAATCTTTATTTTTTTTTAAGAAAATCAAATTGTTTGAATGTCCATTGAGGTATTAGAGAAGATCACCCAATTAATAATCTAGGCATAGTTAATGTGGCTGCGGATACCAGGTAACCGAAAGTTACCATGCCATTGCCACCTCCTGTGCTAAGGATGTTGCATTTGCAGTCAAGTCAGGGTTGCCTCTGCTAGCAGCTAGCGCCAACAAAGCTGCTGTGTGCTGTCACCACCACCGCCGCGCTAGAGAAATCTCTTTGTGAGTTCAGTTTCTGTGGGGGGACTGGATTGCATTGTGTTGGACTGCCTAGTTTGGATTGGGTTGGGCCAGTTTGGTTTGGGCCATCTACATGCCTACTTGGTGTCACCAGCATTACAAATGATGGTAATCATTCAAAGAGTAATCTAAACCAAGCATCTTCATATCAGGACCCGTCAACAAATTAAGGGTCATCCACAGTTTCACAATTACTCCCTCCATCCACAAAAGTTACACATATTACTTTTGACACCAAGACCAAGGAGAAATTAGATCACCTTGGATGTTACAAAATCAAGGAGTGAATGCAAGCATGGAACCAATGAGTATTTAGATGACTCCTTGGGTTCTAATAAAACATTTAATTTATCTCTTCACTTAAATCTTGAATGCATACAGACTACAAATAGAAACAACTTATTTGGAAAAACTTAAATGTGAAATAGGTGTAACTTTTGTGGATGGAGGGAGTACTGTCAAGAACAGCACTTGATCCAAGTGTCTGCACTAAAAAGAATCATTAAATGATATATACTAGATCATTAAATGACATATACTGCTGTTGTTTTGGGAGTTGCCTGTCATCATAAGCCAAATTTTACAATGCATATTCCAGTGGAATTTAACATGTTGCTATGCAGTTTCAAGTAGTGTATGGGAAGGCGGAACAAGCATCAGCCGTTCTGTCACAACATGATCTGGTTAGAGAAAGCGGTGAGAGGTATATATATGTACTTTTCTAGCTGTGATGCTGCTACAAGCGTTTTTGTCGCCAATGTAATCTGTCTGCACATGCACCCTAATCGATCTTTTCCTTTTGATCCATGTACTGCAGCTTGATCCTTGAGCGCAGGAAGAAGATTGGCACACACAACATAAGGCATTTGTGGATGGTTGCTGCATTTGCAATGTCTGGCTACCTTTTCGGTGCTGGGGTCGCTACCCTTATCAAAGGGAACAACAGACGAACACCTGAAGCGGCAGGAACTAAGGAAGATACAACAGACGAACACTAGGAGCGGCAGGAACTAAGGAAGAAGCTTGGACGACTAGAAGAGTAATAGTACTCAATTCCAAATGGACTGGAAATGATTCTGTAATCAAATGCCTCTAACAAGCTGTGGTAACCTTGGACCGTCTATGATTTAAATCGTTGTTGATTGGGACCTCCCTTTTATATCATGTAACTTAGCTGCTGTTGCGAGTTCTCTGAAATGCTTGTCACTTTTTTTTAATTCCCTCCTGAATCCTGAATGATGGTCATCAGAATGTCATAAAGGAAGTGGTTGATTCTCTCAGTTGGCAATCTAAAACCTGATTGAAGTTTCTGTCTTGAACAAGTGCCTCCACAACCTGGCGTTGACAAACATAACCATATATAGTAAACGCAAGAGTGACGGATACACAGGAGAGATCATGTCACATGCTCATCTTCACTACATTCAGAGCTAATTATATATATATAAAAAAATGCTGATGTTCGATTATGTCACATGCTCATCTTCACTACATTCAGAGCTAATTATATATATATATAAAAGCCTGATGTTCTGTTGGTGGTTCAGAGCTAATAGCAGAATGTCTGAAAACTCTGATAGCAGTTAAACCATGAACGTGAACGGAGAACGTTTTGAACAAGCATCTCCTGACGAGCCGAAATAGAACTGGACGTTAGTCCTTAGAATATGGTCCGTTGCGCAATTGCCCCTGACACATATTTTGTGATGATCGACTTGCATTGTGTTTGTAACCATTACTCCCTCCGTTTTAGGTCATAAGTTGTTTTAACTTTGATCAAAGTTAAACTGTTTCAAGTTTGACTAAGTTCATAGACAAATATAGTAATATTTATAATACTAAAATAGTTTCATCAAATCAATAATTGAATATATATTTTTATAATAAATTTGTCTTAGATTAAAATGTCACTACTTTTTTCTACAAATTTGGTCAAACTTAAAACAGTTTGACTTTGACTAAAATCAAAACATATTATAACCTGAACGGAGGGAGTATTATGTACTCCAGCTAATTAAATTACAGTACGTGTGTTGTAAGCATGTGGTGATCCCCTTGTATTTAACGTGTCTAGTGACCTGGAAGATATTTGTTTTTTTTTTGTTCCATCCTCCAAGAATGCTCTATGTGAGCTATTCGTGTACTGGTGATTTAGTTTATCTTTAATTTGCTACCAAATTTCAAATACTACACCTGCTTCCAAATGTATGACCAACTTCAAACTAAAAGAAATGGAGGGAGTATAATTTTGCAGTGCTTCGATTTTACTAGCACATAGTTGTACCTAAATATCTACTCCTTGCAACAGAAGCGTATATGTATATGTGTGTGTATATATATATCTGTGTGCCCGCGCGTCTTTATCTTTACTATTATATAAATTAAAGATTTTTTTTTTCGGGATTTTGACACGTCATTCATATTAGAGTTGATTTTTAAGTTGGTTTTTTAATTTTACGAGTTATCATCACCATCAAGTTATATTTTGAAGGAGCAGGCGAGCAGCTAGCGCATTCGGCGTATCTCCAATTCTGCATGGATACATGCCAATCACAGCGGCCCTCCCCCTCTTTACAGGTTACTCCTCCTGATTTGGAGCATATGATGCCAAACATTAATTAACCTATAATAAATGTTACTACCTCCATATTTATATTTTAATGTATGACGCCGTTGACTTTTTATACAACGTTTGACTATTTGTCTTATTCAAAAAATTTATGTAATTATCATTTATTTTATTGTGACTTGATTCATCATCAAATGTTCTTTAAGCATGACATAAATATTTTCATATTTGCACAAAATTTTTGAATAAAACAAATGGTCAAACGTTGACAAAAAGTCAACGGCGTCATACATTAAAATACAAATTAAGCAAGCTAGAGCAACCACTGAAGATGGATGGATTATTGTATATCATCATACTGTATCTGTCTTACTAGCTAGTTGTATGCTACACTTATAACTTTGGTTATTTTAGTGTAGTGCCTTAAATTTGCTTATTTTACTCATTACTGGTACTGAATTTTTTAAATTAATTCTTCTCACTGTCAGTATATACTTGTTTAGTTGTAATACCAAGCTGCCTTGTGAGTTAACTATAAAAAGAAAGAGCATCCGTTGATTATCGACCAGCAGCAGCCTATCTAGAGCATGAAACACCCCAAACCAGCTGGAGATTGTAAAAGGCGGAGCAAGATTGGTCGCCCAAGCCCTGTCTTACAGGATAGTCAGTTAACAGAAATTGACCAATTTACAAGCGAGTTTCTGAGGCACAATTCACTGCATTTTATCCCAAACACTCAGTCTTCCGTAAAGAGCAAAAACAATCGTCAAGTCTTCTACTTCCCCTCATGTTCTTTTGGTGGTTCAGATCCGACAGTAGAACTTTCAGCAAATTTGTTGTACCCCCAGCTATACCCTGTGAGTACCGCTGCCACAACCACCCATGATCGCAGAACATTTTGATACAGAATCTCCTGACGAGCCAGAAAAGAACTACACATGCAGACAAGGAAGAGCAGTAGTAAATAGGATGGTCAGCCAGATAGAGAACCAAAAAAACACAAGCTGCAATTCACAGAATTACATACTGCCGCACGGTTCGGATCATTAGGTCATCGGTGATCATGTTAACCGGTGTATTCTTGACTTCCTCAAGCAACGCATCGATCTGCATATCAACATGCGTACTGTTGTAATCCACATCCACTATCAGACTTGTACAAAAAGACTCAGATATTTAACTTCAGTTTCTCCTTAAAATTCCACACGCTCTATGTCACTGTTCAATTAAAACAAAATATGAATGATGGCAATCTATATCCTTTTACACAAGTGCACTGTGCCCAACCAAGCCTTTCTTTCTGGTGTTAATGGTTCTTAATACAATCTCTATGGTAAGGAGTTGAAGTTAGATGAATAAAAAACATTGGATGTGAAGGCTGGTACAAGAGCCAAGCTTTTAATCAGCTAAAAGCACACTGTTCAGAATTGAAAATTATAAAGTATGATATTCAAATGCTACATAAGCAAAGAAGCATTACTCGATTCCCTACGAGTTCTGCAACCCAAACTTAGGGAACATGACCCAAACAAACTTAATTGTACAAACTCATCCATGTTATATCATCCTGGGGAATGTGAACTCTAAGGGACATAGTTGAAGGAAAGCAAGCACCATTTTTCTTGGCTGTGCCTACTTTTCATCAAGAGGAGTGCACTTCAATTGGCATATAATTTAACAGTACAGCATGATAAAAAAAAACTGAATATAACTTTTAGTGAGGTTTGGCATTGGTGCTTCAACCAAATGTTTGGGAATTGAGAGTAGTTAAACCCCAAGTATACGGGAGAACAGGTACAGTTTTGTAAGAACAGAAAAATGTCACTCTCTTTCTTTCCCCTCAAGCTAGCAGGGGAGACAAGAGTAATACTGAACAACACAGGATTATTTTCAGAGCATGGAGGGTTTTGCCAAACAAATAAATTAAAATAAAAAAGGAAGGGAAAACTAAAAAAGAAGTTATAAAACTAAAACATTAGAGATGAAGGCTTGAACAAAAGACAAGCTTTAATTAATCGATGGTAACAGCAAGAGTAATTCTAGTGCGTAGTGTCAAGATGCTACAGCAAATGAGCAACATCATAACAGCTAAAACCCTATGAAATTATGAAACGCAATGATACGTATACGAACTCATTCAATAATCAATACAAACAAGTGTGCACAATGACCTGTCATCTTAGGGGGATTGCACTCTTATGCGGCATAATGAAATTTAACAGTGCTAACAGTCAAAATTCTAGAGCAAAGTGTTGAGATGGTTAAGCACAAGAGCATTAGTGAACATAATAATGCATCATCTACAACTGCAGAATGATCTGTCATATTACGGAATAATACCATCTCCTCCCCTCACAATAAACAGATAACAGTCGTACTGGTACAGGCAGCATAATCTGAAAAACCTGAATCTAGTTAGTTGAAGAATTTGTGTGTGTGTTTTTCGCGGGAGCATATATATCTTTAGTAGTTTATTAAATACTCAACATATGGGATTACGGGCATAATTTCGAAATAAGAAAAGCAAAAATAAATCCATCTTTTTTTAACCTAGTTGGGGAACAACCAAACGCGATGATGAAACAGGTATTAGCACAGAGGCAGTAGGCTTAAAAAAAAGGATATATTTCTATTCAATTTGGGAGGGGAAACTCTAGATCGAAACCTAAGAACGAACTAGGTTATTATCAAGGGAGATGGATACACACACACACACCTCATGGTTGTTCCTATTGAAAGAGCTGAAGCGGGGGCCCCGGAGCTTGCGGGGAGGAGGGGCGCCGTCGGAGTGGTACGCGGCTCGCCGGATGGCCCTGCCCGCCGCCGCAGGTCGTAGCGTCCACGCCACCATAGCTTCCCACCGTCGCCACTACGTGTTGGCCTCGCTTCGACTCCAGATACATATCTCCGTTGCGTCTGCGTGTTCGTCCGGCCCAATAGCACTCGGCCCAGCAGCTAAACTAAGGTAGTTTTGGGCTTTCTTTGTATATGCCCGCCCGATCATGGGCTCCAAATACTGTACTTGCACTTGGACTTGGATCAGATGTTTCTTTCTTATTACTCCCTCCATTACAATCATTTTGTTAGATGTTCCATAATATAAGGCATACATGCATATAGGCTATTAAATATGACCTCTTCTCCATTAAATTATTACTTTTTTAAATACATCACTCTCATGTTCTCTAATTTTATTGGATGCATACATTATATTTATTAGGATGATCCAAACTACAAGATGATAATAATTATTTTCTTGGTTTTTGGGTTATGGGTGATTATGCCTTATAGTATTTTGGAATGGAGGGAGTAATATTCATCAGTCCTATTCACCTCGGTCGGCGTTGTAAGTAGTAATTGTTTTTCTTTTCTCATCTGCAGTCCTAGTTATTTCTGCGAATGATAACGGGCTATATACAGTTATCCAATTTGGTTCAGAACATTACATCTATTGCTGTGAACCCTCTACAAATCGAGCGTCCGATTTTCTAAAATAATATCAGTGCTCGATTTTTCTAAAATAATATCAGGCGATCAAATGTTCTAGGTGGTGTTTGAATCTCCTGAAGATGAAGATAAAGATTAAGTGTTTCACGTAGTTATTACAAACTTAAAAAATAGATTAATCTGATATTTTAGAACAACTTTCATATAGAAAGTTTTCGCACAAAACACACCGTTTAGCAGTTTGAAAAACGTGCCACTTTAATTCAAAATTCCATCCACCCTTTTAATTGGATTCGAACGGGCCCTAGTAGTACATGATGAAACATTTAAAAAATTTGTGAAATACAGTGAGAACATATATTAAAACATATCGTTATCACATATGAAACGTGTTTTAACGATTTGAAACATATTTTCCTTTCGTCAAAACATAATCATGTGATATCTTATTATAAAGAATTAATTATAACGAATAGGACTGGAATTCAAGTATAATAACAAAGTCACCATTACAGGAGTAGTATTTCATAGTACCATGTAACGAACTAATACTAGCGAAACCATATTAATGTAGCGTAAAGCTACAACATAAGCTAACAAAATTATGTCTCGGCAGAGGATGAGACGGGATACACAGCAATCCATCAGACAGTATGAATAAACAGAGCACAACAAGTCCAGCAGATTGGATAATCAGGCCTTCCTTCGCCTAATTTCCCACACCATGCTGCAATGATGCTGCACTTCCTACAAAATGAGCAAGTAGAACATGAGTTATAAGCCCAGAAATAATTGAGTTCATGTCACAAATTATGTGTTTATAAGTAGTGCTCCACATCCACCTACCTGAAACCAGTGATGACCAGCAGCTGTGCTGAATCACTTATCGCCTGCTCGTCTTGCCTATAGAACTTTTTCCAGAGAACAGATGCTTTGGTTTCAAAGTTGGAATGACACGGTCCGCCTCTCCGCGACGAGCCTCCTTGTTCCTGTTCCTCACAGAATCCTTAGCTTTCTTAATTGCCTTCTTCTTCTGAGCAGAGTCCTTGAATCCTTCTCCTGGAACAACCTCCTCAGGTGGTCTTGATTTCGACCTAGACCTGGACCTCGACAACGCGCGCAATTTCTTGCTGGACTGCTGGCCATCTATATCCATATCATCACCATCACTGGCAGCTCTGCTCAGTGACCTCTCACGCTTGCGACCTCTAGACCGGCTGCGGGCTCGGTCCATAGCTGCACTAGGATCAAAACCCATGGATGAAAGTTGGCGACCCATTCTATCAGTTGTGAATGTCCTGTCTTTGTCAAACTTTCTAGGAACAATAGGACGACTTTCTGCAGTTCTCTTCTTCATTCTATGCTCCTGGATGAGCAATGCCTTCTTCTTTCTAATCTGACCCAAGATTTCACGCTGCTCTTCAGTTAGTTCATGGCCATCAATCTGGAAAGCTTCCTGTGCAGCTTCCTCTTCGAGGCGAAGACCCTCCTCTCTCTCCAACTCTTCACACCTCTGCAATATATCTGGATCCAGAAAATCAGCAACATTATGCCCATCCAATATCTCAGGCAGAATGTCTTCCTTCCATTCATCATCGGCCAATAAGTAATGCTTCTTGAGACTCGCAGAATAGACCCCAGCACCTCCATTCTCATTCTCTAGGTCCTTCTCCAGTTTCCTTTCCAGCTTCTTCTTTTCCTTTGCAGCATCAGCACTTGCTCGAGCATCCAGAACAGCCTGAGGGATGCAAGGAGGCCTCTCCTTGTTATCACGAGGCTTTGGCATAGCAACATGAAATCTATTTAGGCAGTCATTGATCTTCTTTGATTTCATCTTGATCTCCACCCTCTGATCAAGAAGCCTCTCACATGCAGCATTTTTGACAGCCATCACACCATTTTCAGTCAAAGTACTCATAGTCAACAAAACACCCTCTTCATTAGCTTCTCCACCATGGCCTATGGTCTTCATAGCCTCTGCCTTCATCTCCATTACCAGCTTCATGTCCTCCTCAGACAGATTTTCAAGAGGCTGCAAATCTGTCTTGTTGCACACAATGACTAGAGGCTTGTTCATGAACAAGGACTTGATACTGTGGAAGAGTGCAGCCTGCTGAGCAATACTGTACCCACAAGACCCAGAGATGTCCAGGAAGAATAGCACAGCAGCCCTCAAGTGGGCAAGAGCAGTGATACTGCACATTTCTATGATGTTCCTGTCCTCAAAAGGCCGATCAAGGATCCCTGGAGTGTCAATCACTTGGTACCGCAAATACTTGTAATCAGCATGACCAACAAACAGGGACTTTGTTGTGAAAGCATAGGGTTGGACATCCACATCTGCTCTTGTGATCTTGTTCATGAAAGAGCTCTTCCCAACATTTGGATAGCCACAAATCAATAAAGTACGGGTGTTTGGGTCTATAGATGGAAGCCTCGCCATGTGCTGCCTGATCTGCTCCAGGTATGCCAAACTAGGACTGATCCGCTTAATGACAGTACACATACGACCTAATGCAGCCACCTTGAGACACTTGCACCGGTACAGCGAGTCTCCATATTTGAGCAGCCTCAAATAGTCCTTAGCTATCTTTGCAATGATATTTCTGGCTGTGTTGATTTGGCCCAAGGCAAGTTTGTAGTGATCTTTGTTGTACAGAACATGAAGAAGATCACCATAGAAAGGATGGATGCCATCCAACCTTGGGAAGTCATCGATGACAGTGGACAGCTTCTCATAGAAGTTTGACTGGGTATACTTAACCTTTCGCATATAAAACTGACGAATGCGGGAGATAGCATATCCCTTGTGGACAACAGTTGGTGTTTGCCTCTGGGTGCGGGACAAGATGATGTCAATGAAGTCCTTCCCAGGAGGAACAACAGTGATACGCTTGAAATTGTATTGCACCATTTTCACTAGCTGAGATGACTATTTCTGTCATACAAACAACAGTGCATATGAAATCAATACAGGATAACAGGATTCAATACGGAGAATTTCAGAAATAAGATAATTGGGAACATGTATATGAACCCTTCCATTGAAAACAGTAGAGTAAATTGCACAGAACAACAAACCATAATATCATTTACTACAACACTCTGCAACTTACATTCCCAAGCAATATCCAGTAAATCTAAAAATATAAGACAAAATGGAACCCACAGTTTATTTGTGCAACTTAAAAGTGTTTATTAGCACATGCAGCGGATAAAGGCCGTAAAACACTTCAAGGAGCCAGTTACACAATGTAACAAGACACCACAAACAAAATAAAAAATAAATCACATATAGACCTAAGCACCAGTAACAGCCTTCTGACAGATCACATAAAACATGTTACACGTATCATAGGAAAATTCTCCAGCAAGCTAATTGTTCCTCTCTATATACTCCTTGGGGGAAAAAAGGAACAGTGCTGGTGAATCTGCAACCTGCCAGCCACCCCTACTACATCTTTCTACAGATCACGCCCTGAACATTTTAATTCTACAGTCGACATACAGAACTTTTATCTGCTACCATCTACTTAACTGGCTTAGAAAAATCACCATTAACAAGGAAAGTCTAACATGTTCGAACCAGTGACATGTACATACATGTAATGCACAAGTTGATCTCACAATTAACACACGTAAACACTATCTGCTATTGTAAAAAAAAATTGACCTCACAATTAACACACATAAACACTATCTGCTATTGTAAAAAAAAAAGGAGGGATAACATATTTGATACAAAAATCAGATTGCTCATATGAGCACATGAAATGGTTAAGAGCGAGCATTCAGACAATAAGCAATATGGCTTGGCAGCAACGGAAGCACGCACAAGTATTAGAGTCCACCGATTCTCAAACTTCCATATCGATGTTAAATCTTAGCAGCAGCTAGCCCGCTGCTAAACCGTGCTGAACAATCACATACTACCTTTTATCCACCAAACCATCAAATCTGATTTACCCGCTTGAATGGATGGCAATCAACACAAGGAACAGACCGCAGAACAGAAAAAAGATGTCCCCAGAACAAAAACGATATTTCGTGACTAACTAATGACAGAATCAACTGAAAACGACCATGTACCCGATTAACCCGTAACTCATCAGAATCAACTAAGCATACACACGAGCATGAGCAGGTAGAGGGAGGGGAGAGAAGCGACGTTACCTACGTCGTGAGGCGGCGGCGGAGGGCGGCGGCGTCCCCCTCTGCGTGGCGGCGGAGGAGGAGGGGGAGAGAAGTTTAGGGGAGGGTTTCTCCTGAGGCTCTTATACCGTGTGGCTTTGATGGGCCTCAATGGGCCCATCTAATCTCTGCACTAATGGGCCTCAAGGCCCACAAAATCACGGCCCACGAGTTGCTTCCAGACTCCACGGCTCAGCCTCTGCCACGGCGGCGACACCCGACTTCTCCTTCTCCTCTTCCCCCGCCGTCGTGGAAGGGAGGAGAGCGGCGGCGCCGGCCACCGGCCACCGGAAGGTTCGTCTCCTCTCTCTCCGCCTTCTGCTCCCCCCGGATGTTCGGTTGCTTTGTTGGCCCCCACGCGGTTCTCGCTGATTCGTGTACGCTCTTGGATTGTTGCTGTTAGGGTTCGGGAGTGGTGGTGTTGGGTAGTGAAGTCGGCTGCGGCGATGTTGTCCAGGATCTCGCAGCTCGGGGCGCGGCTTCTGCGCGAGAACAGAGCTGGTACGCACCCTTTTCGTGTCTCTCTTGTTTTTTATTGGTTAATCCTCTGGAAGCAGCTGAGAAATACTTCCAAACCATGACGAATCTATACATTATCACGAATGATTAAAGAGGAGAGAGCGATCGATTTGTATGAACGATATGCATGCTTCCACTATCCATTCTATGGCCGGTTTAGGCTGAGCCACTATTGTTGAGTAAATCTTGGTGCTATACCATTGGCTTTTTATTGTTCTCCCTCTTGTGCAGTAGGGAATTTGGCAAGCAGTACAACCAGCTATTATCGAGGTCAACTCAGCCGACGTTTTGTCCCAACGGTTAGTCCAATCTGTATCTTGTTGTTGTGATGCCTAGTGGTGAGTTTGGACGAAAATTTTGCATACCCTTTGTATGTGTTTTCACCGAGAGCTTAACTTGGCCAAGTCAACTGTATCTTATATACCCTTTATGATGTTTGCATTCTGAAATTTGTATAGCTGTTACTGACAATCCCTACAAAAAGAGCAATCATAAATGTTTTCTAGATATGACATGGATTTTCTGAAATGACCAATATGAATTGTGCATTCTGAAACTGAGAGACAAAAGATTTTATCTATCTGCACATTCTCCACCACCATCTTTATCTTGGGATTATGTTCTGTACTACCAGAAGAGATGATTTACCATTTGCAAATGTCCTTGTATGTAATGAGCACTGGTCTGTAACTTTTCAGAAGAACATCTTATTCTCCACAGCAACAACTAGTAGTGATCGTGACGATGGCAGTCAGAGCAAGGAGAAGTAAGTATATTTCCTCTCCCCTTTCTTTTCCTTTTTCTGGTATAGCATGAAATTTGAATACCTAGCAATATTTGTATTGGACAAGGTAGTGATGTATCCCATGTCGTTGTAATGTGAGTTTCTTCAATGTCTTTGTTGTCTTTAAAGGGGCTTCTCCTTCAGTTTTTCCCTCCTAGGAAATAGCTGTCCAAAACAACCGATTAATTTTTCTAATGAGCAAATTTCTTTGTGCTGCACAGGATCTCTGTAACATTTGTGAACAAGGATGGCACAGAGCAGACAATCAGTGTCCCTGTTGGAATGTCCATCTTAGAAGCTGCTCATGAAAATGACATCGAACTTGAAGGTTACTGATTTATCATTGCAACTGTACTATGCTTTCAATTCTTAACTTCTTTTGCTGATAAGAACAGCTATAAAAAGCAAATTATGTTTACCCAATAGACATGGCGTCCATTATTGATTACTTGATGTTATTTGACATGTTTCATGTATTGACTATTGACTGATTTTTAATTGTAGTTAGTAACTTGGTCTAGTATTTTGGGTACTGCAGGAGCATGTGAAGGTTCACTTGCGTGTTCAACCTGTCATGTCATAGTTATGGTATGCTCTATATAACCATTCCTTTTTTTATTATTTTTCATGCTATTGTAGAGATTGAAGTGCCACTAACTAGCCATTTCAATTTTGTCCAGGATGTAAATTATTATAATAAGCTAGAAGATCCAACAGATGAAGAAAATGATATGCTTGACCTTGCATTTGGACTTACAGAAACGTAAGTGAAGATATCTTGAAGGTTTTATTAATTTGGCTTATCCAGTTTCATGGTTCCGTGGTGCTTGCTGTCTGATTATCGTGCAAACAAGAATGTTGGGTATCAACCAATGAGTATGCATGGTATTGTTAGAATAGTTTAAGTAGTTGATGGCCATAGTGAGGGAGGGAGGGGAAAACAAAGGACTGGGGGCATTTGATATGAGAGGATACGATATGCAGTTGCTTCCTTAATCATCCTGATATGTCTCCACCTGTATCTGTGTGCAACCTTTACAAACTAATTGCCGCTATCCGTGACTTAAGCTATATGCATGACATAATGGAAATTAAAGACAAAGTAACTTATCAACCAACATGTTAAAATAGCCAAGTGAGATATTCTCATGCTGGTAAGTTGTAATTGTATAAATACCATGGTAGCTTTGTATGCACTAGAGTTTTTGTTCAATTTAAATGCGTGTCCTTTCTAATCTGGCATCAATTTTGTGAACTGTATTCAGGTCTCGTCTTGGCTGTCAAGTGATAGCAAAGCCAGAACTTGATGGCATGCGACTGGCATTACCAGCAGCTACACGAAACTTTGCGGTGGATGGCTTTGTACCAAAACCACACTAAAAGACTGATAACTGAGACTGAGAAGTGAGAACACAGGTTCTTACACAGCATCATCAATTTTGTAGCCCAACACTTGTAACTTAAACAACAGCCTTTGGTGTTATGAGGCTTTTGTGTTCCAGAGAGGATTTGTTCATTGTTGAGCTCCTCGGTTAGTTACGGAAATTATTATTTCATCAGTGCCACACTACCACCGGGTGAATAAAATGCTTCTTCTGCATGTTTATTGGCTTATATGGTGCATCAGCCTTTAATCTTGACAAAAAAGTGTTGACATTGTACTGGGGCCAGCTCTTTTAGGCCATCTACAATGCGTAGCTCAGCGAGTGGCTTTGGCTCACGGCGTCCAGCTCCCGTTCGCTTGGGCGCTTTTCCGCCCAAGCCGTCCCCCAGTAGAGGCGCGCGTCTTCTTGCAAGGGACGCGGCTCTACGAGCTCCTCGGCTGGGGGACCGAGCGAGGAGTCGCGTTGGGTCGGCTGTGGCTAGGGGAGGAGCATGTGGAAACCGCTCTCTCCCCCGGTTTTTCCCCTTCTACCCTCACTAGCCACCGGAGGAAAATAGATAGGCGGCGATGAGAGAGCGAGGGAGTCGCCGTCATTACTAGTAACTTCTAACTACACCCATATTATAGTCAAGTGCAGTACTTAAAAAAAGATCAGCGAAATACCTACACAAGCTTAGCCCTAACTTTGGCGGCGATGGCAAGTGAATAGGAGCGCGAAGAGGAATTTTTGTGAAGATGAAGCGGTGGACAAGACGATACACAGTATCGTGTTGTTTTTTAGGAATCTTTAAGCTTTTTTTTGGGCTGAAGTCCATTAAACATTTACTGACCTTCCACGGGTTTTTAGGGACTCAAGTATATTTGTCTTTGCAGTATGCACGTGGAAAGTATCCAATACCTTGAAAATTCTCTTTTCTTGCTGTTACACAACCTTTTATTTAGAAGAGTTGGTACAATGTGATTTAAATAGGTGGTGAACAGTGAGCTTTATAGTTTACACTTTAACTTTTTTTACATTAAAGATAAGCACTGTTTAGCGTATGTTAAACAAATGCAATCAGCCAACTGCTGCGTCATTGTTTTTATTTAACAAAAACCACATATGTGTGCAACTTTTTAAGACCAATATCTTTGGCTTTATGATGTTCATGATATTTCTTCTTGGTTGTTAATAGGGAGTTGGTAAATCCATTTTGAGTATTATTAATTCATATTTGACACCATGTTTGCCAATAATTGTTTAATAAAACCACTCGACTGGTTGATTTATCTACTCTCTGAGTATTTATTTAGTTATATTCAACTAATTACATAGTCAGGGCTATACATAATTATGTGTATAAAAAAATTCTTCATCAGTTTTAATTTTTTTTCAGCCCTCCACAACCTCATATTTGGGTTTGAAAGTATTCAAGAGACTATGGAAGAGATATTAAAGAGAACGAGGAAAGAGGGCGAGGAAAAAGAAAAGGAGATTAGGGTGGCTGACATATGAAGATTAGGATGACTGAACATGTGGCCGTGTGAGATTAATTTTTTTTATATATTTATCATTGACATGTGGGTCTTATGAGCGGCACATAGGTTGAAACCGTTTTTGAAACCACCGAATAGGTTGATTTACACCGGTTTTTAAATATGAGGAATGTATTATACTCGGTTTTACGATTGAAAGGTGATTTACACAGGCAAGAGATGGAGGAGGGAGATAAAATAGACTTGTTCCTTTCAAAAAGTAGCCCAACATCTTCATTCTCTCTCCTAAAAACGAAACAAAGGGTACACACGAAAAAAAACAAAAAAGTCTCCTCGTCGTTGTCGTCCTCCTTCCGCGGCACGATTCGCCGGCGGGAGGCGGGCGCGAACTGGAATCACTGTAGCAGCTAGGCTAGGCTAGAAGAGGCGAGGCGAGTGGTAAATGCTTGCCTATCTAGGCCACGCAACCCTAATCTCAAATCCGCCCTTCCGCCGCAATTCGAATTCCAATTCGAATTCGATCCCCCACCCCTCCCCTCCTCGAATCTAGGGTTTCACCTCCCCTCCCCTCCGCTCCGCTCGCCGGAGCCCCACCATGGACCCCGGCCGAGGCGGACGCCGGAGGGCCGGCTTCGAGCGCGCCTGCCGCCTGCCCAACACCGTCCACTCCGAGATCGCCTCCGCGCTCCCGCTCCCCACGCTCCCGCTCAACCTCGGCGCCGGCCTCCTCGACGACGACGACCCCCTCGCCGACCCCGACCGCCCCGACATGATCATGCAGGCCGCCAACATCGCCCGCATCCTCGCCGACACCGACGTCTCCCACCTGTGAGTACCCAATCCCCCCCCTTCCCTTCACTTCTCCGCACGCCTCCACGCTGCTCATTTCGCTCGTGCCATGCTGCAGGGGCTTCACGGAGGCGGACAACGTCGAGACGGACCCCAGCCAGTGCTCCTGGCTCTGGAGGGAGGTGCTCAAGCATAACCCCGACGCCTTCACCATCAAACCCCGCCCTCTCCCGCCTTCCCAAGGTAAACGCTCTGCAAATTGAGCCTTCCCCTAGGACCTCAGCCTCCAATTGCTCCATTCTGCCTTGTACCATCGAATTCAAAATGGACTGGATAGTTACTTACTTCTCTGGACTTAGATTTTTCTTCTACATGTACTTATTACTGTGTGCTAAGCTTCTGTTCTAGCTTTGCCAGCTTCAAAATGCCTGTATGAACAGTAGTATTCACAGTGACTGCCTTGGACTAAACATTCCCTGTGTTGCTGTCTCGTGCTATCATTTAGCACCGTGTTGCTGTGAACCTTTTAGTACAGTTGCATTGCATCTCGTTTGTTAATGGTGTGCTGCATGTTGGATGAGTTGCTGCTCTGCTCAAGGTTAAATTTGCTTTCAAGTTTCAACGATCGCAGTTCCATGCCACGAAAACTGAATTTCGTCCATTGTTATTCTGAGGGCTTTTACAATGCTTCAGAGGTACTGGAGGTACCTTCTTCTGTGTTGAATATCTACCCTTGATTTAAAAAGGTAACTTAGAAATAGAAAACACATAGACATGGGCAGTTTTGTAATTGTTCTTTGCCAACAAACTTCTCTCCTTGACGGTCACCCATTTAGTTGCTCCATGGTGATCAGCTCTTGGTTCGCTATTTTTCATCAATACCTGTGCACAGATTCCTGTAACTAAATTCAAAAGTAATATTCTCTACCCTTCTACCCCTTCGTATGATCTGTAAAGACAAGAGACATGGACCTGGCGATCCTCCTTTTCAGAATATTTCACCAATACGTGTTGTGAAAGTTGATTACTTGGTTCTAGTCTTCTAGTACATAATTGCTTGGTTCCCTTCTTGGTCATGCTTAGTTACATGAATATGCTTTTATTATTTACAGAGCCCCATGCAAGATTACTAAATACAGTTTTGTTACTAAATACAGTTTTGGCCTACTTAATCGTGCTTGGTTCTCCTTTATCTATTTTCAAGCAACAGTACCGAGTTTATTCCCATGTTTTTTTTAATCGACTGCCGCCTTCTAATTTGATATAAATATACAATCACGTATCTAACCCTCCACCTTTTTTTTTAACTTAATACCTGCCCCACATTTTTAATACCTTACCATAGCTACCTTTCCTTGTGGATCATTCGATTACAAGCGATGAACGGATGTAGCGCCTCCAAAGCATCCTAGGTCTCTTCTATTTTTCATGTGGAAAGCACTTCAGTGTTCTCTTCTTGGTTATCTATGTTGTACATCTCTGAATTTAGTTTACAACAAACATATCATTTTTAAATACTTCTGTCAGTCGGTCTACACTTTACAATGTAACCTCCCATGTGGGCTAAGTTTCCTTGTGATGTTGTGCTAAACTTGTGTCTACCTGTCGAAGCTATGTGCCTGCCAGTGAGTGATGCATACAACAGGGTTGCTGCTGCCTATGTCTTTGGGTCCAGATATGTCTGCATTGTAGTGCCCCAAATAGCTCTGTTCTGTGAATGGCCAAAGGCATTAACAGTCAGATGAGACACGGCTTTGAATACATATATAACGACATGCAGCTGAACATACATGTACGGTTTGGTTCATGATTGTATAGGGCGTAACACCTTTGGGCCCCCTAATTTTGCCTAAGCCCGATGGCTTATTGTGGTTTGTCCATTAGAGAACTGCTAAACTTCGTATCTTTACTTATGGTATTTGTATGTTTATGAGGGCTTTCCATTTGTGATTTCACGCTGATTCTGTTTAGGCCTTGGTAGGTTTAGTTTGCACAAGGTTCAAGCTTATTTTCCTAAATAGTTATGCTAGAAATGGATGATTCTCTACTATCTTCAGGCCCCTTCATTATTGTCTCTTTCATGTGCAAACCTCGCAGTATTGTCATCCTGCAGTCCACCATTGCACAGATCCACGTTCCATTAACGGTGCCTCTGTTACTATTCTTACACTACAGAGAATATTGTCATCAGAAAATTTCACCCAATTGTATTGCCACCTTTTTAGTGAGCTGTTTTCAGTTGTTGTTGGGTGGTACTTAATCTTTCATTCTACATGTATGCTCTGCTATTTCTTTCTACCAATGGAAATATTTCATACCAATGAATTTGGGCTACAAAGATGATGTAATCTTTGTTAGGTTCTATATTTTACATTCTAGGCACATAAATAACTACCTTATCTCCCCGCTTTTGCCGGTCGAGTCACAGTCTTTATCTTTGGATGCTTGTATGGTGGTACTCTTGGCGCAACCTAATAGGATAGTTTTTCGTACGGAACTATGGGTATCCCTTTTGATCCCTCTAGCTGGTCCTATTCCGATTCATTCACCCAGCGATCAGTAATTTGGCAATGCTATGCCATATCTTATCAATAGTATCCCAAGTAGATGGCAAGATGCAAATAGAGGAACCAATTAAAGATGTATTGGAGTAACAGGATCAAACGAGAACACAATGAAAGTAGAGAGGCTTAAATTGTTAGGTACCCTGAACTTAGTAAATTCTATTTAAAAACCACTCTGTTCCTTCTCTTAGTTCGCCCACATATGTAAAGTATACTGCATTGGGGACCGTATGAAATTTTTAATTTTAATCTGAAACTGAGAATTGGCTGTAATGAGTCAGATAGTTGTGGGAAATAAGACAAGATCCACTTGGTAGCTGCAGGGACTGTATATGGAAGGATAGAATTGTTGACTTTTATTTGAGCAGCACTAAAGAATGATTCTCAATTATTTGGGTAAC